GGCACTCTGTTTTTTTACTGTATGTCTTTATTATTCTCTGCCTTTCTGCAGACTCGTTTTCCCTGGCCTGGGATCCACATGCTTGAACACCATTGTCCCACAATCAGGCAGGGTTGACTATATAATCTGTGGGGCCCAGAACAAAACTAAAATTCAGGGCCCCAGCCAGGGGCTGGGAAGTCAGTCTCTCTTTCCCACATGTCCATTGCCTCAACCCAAGGTACTCCGTGGCCTCCAAGGGATCACAGCCTCCAAGTGGGAACACATTCGGGGCTGGGATCCTCCATGGAGGAGAGGTCCCTGCCAAGTGTCAGACCCAAAATGCTACTACCTTGCCCCACCCCCAAGATGCTATGAGGCTCTCTAGACCCCAACCTTGACCTTCCCAAAGTTAGTACCCAGGCTCGTGCCAGGGGCAGAGGGTGGCAGCAGCTCCAAGGCCAGGTGGTGTGCAGGAGGCCAAGTAGGGCCAGGGGCACCAGGAGGTGGGGAGCCAGCATCTCAGAACCCATCACAGGAAGGTCAACCAGGGGTGGAGGGCAGGAGGGGGGACCATGCATGAGCTGGGGCTCCATGCCCCTGGGTCATGTTCCACTGTCCCATCGGACCTCACCTACCAAACCCAGATTTGAAATAATATTATTCAGAATGCCAAGATGGCAACTGCAGAGCAGTAAACCCCAAGCGTGGGGCCCTTCTGAGCACAGGACCCTGGGACTGCACTGATCAGATGCCACACAGCCAGCCCTGCCCTGCCTAACCAGCTTTTTTTTTCTCCCTGGCTCCCTTGTTCCTGGGGTGGGGGGACAGACTCCACCTGCACCTAAAGCAACATAGAGACTGCTGGCATTCCAACCCCAGAGAGGACACATAGGTCCCAGACAACCGGGATGTGAACCAGGAAGAGACCCAAAAAGCTCCCTCGTGAATGCTCTCCTACCACCTCCTAAGTGATGTCATACTGTCTATCACATACTCTGCAGGTATATGAGCCAACGGGGCTGGCTGCCCACCCCAGCATCCATCCCCCCAATGCCTTAGTAACTGGAGGCCGCAATGGCCTCAAGCTAAGCAGTATCATTACTCGGCCTCCCTTGCAGCAAGAGGTGGCCAATTGGCCTATGAGACGTGAGCAGAAATCACAGGGTGGGACTTCTGAGAAATCTTTATAAAAGAGGCTGACTCAGTTGCATGGGGGTGTCCTTTTCTCCCCTTATCTCTCCTCTTCTTGCTGCTTGAAGGATTCAAGGCAGTGGGTGGCATGATCAGATAGAGGAGGCGAGTTTGGGGAGGGTGGGTTCCATTGTTCCAAGAGGAGCTCTCAAGGATCTGAATTAAGAGGGTCAGATGGGGAACAGCCCAGGAGAAAGGTTAAGGAGGTAGGACCTACAGGATTTGATGGTCGAGACCACAGTCAGTACCTTTCTGTGTGCCAAGCAAAGTAGAATGTAAGCTCCATGACACAGGGACCGTATCTCTGTGGCTTATCATTGCATACCCTGGCCCAGCAGAGTGCCAGGCACAAAGTGGGCAATCTCTAAGTGTGGTCCAATAAATGAAGGAAGAATGAATGAAAGTGCTCTAGAAATCCTTTGAGGGCTTGACTCCTAATTGATCAGAAACATCCATCCCCAGGGAGCCCCTTGTACCCAGGGAATGATTCCCTCATATGACTTCTCTTGCTTTGCGCTACCTGTGAACTCCTGCCATCCCTATGCTCAGACCCAGGCTGGGTTCTGGGGGGACCTGGAGTACAAAAGCCATTGGAATGCCACCCTGATCCAAGCTTTTCCCAACTCTGGCTCTGATGTGGTTTGCAGGCCAAGTTAATGCCACTGTTTCCACAACATCACTTCCTCTGCAGCGTGAGAAAAGAGGAAGAAAACTCGCTCTATGACTCTCCTCTTCCCCCAGGGAAAGCACAAAGCTGTTGGAAACAATAAAAGCAGCCCTGTGTAAAGGGGAGACTTTTGTCTGTGCAGTCAGGGGTTGCTGCGCCCGCGACTTCCTGCAGGGACATTCGGCAGTTTTGCAGATAAATAAATGCTCACATTCAGAATGACCAGCCTAGAACACTTTTATGAGCCTTTTCTCCTCCCCAGGCTGTACACAGATAATAAATCAAATTAGCATCCTGAACCTCCGGTTCAGCATCACTTGTCACCAGTTCCCCCTGCACGAAGGGTAAGTGAGTTTCGGCAAGGCTGTGCTCAGCTATGATCTGGCCACATGGGATTGAGGCCTGTGGCCTCCTTGGAAATCATTTGATGTTTCAGGCTGAGGTCACAGGGCCCTGTTGGTCACTCCAGACCAGACTGTAAAAGAGGTGGCTGAAGCCCCAGCCTTCTAATCAAGATTGGGTTGTTACTTAGAAAATAAACACTTTCATTTCTTGGTTAATAATCGTAGGAACATGAGCCAAAATAGACAACTGTCACAAAGACAGACAAAGAAGGAAGGGGAGAAAGGGAGGGAGGGGGAGGGAGAGAGGGGGGGAGGACAGACTATATCCATAATCAGAAACAGAGGCTAGCCATTTTCCTCCTCCATGTTCTGCCTAAGAGAGTGACTTACACCACAGAGGCATTCAACAGATGCTGGAGGAATGGAGTTGGAAAGGAGAGAGTTTACTTTCAGGTAACTGGAAATGAAATTGGTCCTCATTTCAGGCTGCCCAATTAGTGACACAGAATGGACAACTGGTTAGGTTTAGAAAATGAGGGTGTGGGGAATAACAATATGGCATAAAAGTACATTCTACTGGATTACCTGAATATATACATTTTTAAAAATCGCATCCTCTCTTGGACCACTGGAAGGAGCCGGACGGCCCAGAGCACCAGTGGTAGGCTGTTCGAATGGCAGATGTGGTCCTACTGCCCAGCCGTCTCCAAGCTGTTGGTTGAAGTAGATGACTGCCTTCCAAGAGATGTGACCTCACAGCTGGTGAGGGCTGGGACTCTGGAACAAGCTGCACAGATGCACGATCATGGTGTTCCTTATGTGGTCTGTGAATTGAAAAATAAGCGCTAACTGCAAGTCATGCTCCCCCCATGCCGCTGCCACCACGGGCATGTGGAAGGGAAACCAATGAGCCATGTTTGGTGGGTGTACCCTCCTTTCCTGTGATATGTTCAGAATCACCTCAAATGCAGTTCCAGGCTGCCTGACCCTGAGCAGAAGCCTACAGAGAAGGAAGGGTGGGGAGAAATGGCTGAGATCAAGTAAAAGCTGCTTTGGGTATATGCCCCAGCAAGTTCAAATGCTGCCAGGCTGATTGGTTGGGGGGAGGGGAGGAGTGGGAAGTTAATGTATTTTTGAATAAGAGTTTCCTGTTATCTGCAAACAGCCACAAAACAGCTAGAGATTTTATTAAAATAGTCCTCTCAGAAGGAGCAGTGGTTGGGGCCGTTTTCTCTAAAATCACTTGCCATGGGTGGTTCTGTTAATCGTTTCTTCAGATACCCATTCATTTCACCATTATTTATTAAGTGCCTACTGTGTGTCGGTCACAAGGCAACGTGGAAAATACACAGTCCTCAAACACTAAGTTTTGTAGATGGGTCTGGACTTCTGATTCCAAGGTGACCACTAACATAACATTTAACCACTCAGACTCAGGGATACCTGGCTTCAAATTCCCACTAAGTCATTTAACTTACTGGGTGACTTGATAAACTCCTGTAACTGACCTGTAAAGTTTGAGGGCTCGTAAAGTACTCAGCACAGCGCGGAAGTGGGAGTACTATTATTATTTAGCGCGATCCCTCCACCCCACCCCAGCTCAGATCCCTGCCGCCCTCCACCGCTTGGTGGTATTTCCGAGAAGGACCAGGCCTTCTGCCGCTGGGCCGTGACCCTGGAAATCGGGTCAGGCTCTCGTCAAGACGTGAGTGTGTGTGTGTGTGTGTGTGTGTGTTGGGGTGGGGGGGGGCTTTCTTTGCGCGCGGCTTTCCCCAGGGTCTGCCGACAGTCTAAAAACTCACTTGAGAGGAGAGGAATGAGCGCGAAGTGGCTCTTTCGATCTGAGACACCCCCTCCCGGAGAAATCACCCCCTCCCCCCAGCCCAGCGCGGAGTGAAATCTTAGAAGCCGCGGCTGCCGGGTTTGAACGGAATGCCGGAGTCGGTGGAAGCCGGAGCTGGTCGGCCCGAAGGTCAGCGAGTTGTTTTGAGTTCTCGTACCCGGAAGAGGGGGAAACAGGGAGGAGAGGACGCCGGGGCCCGAGAGACCCCGCGTCAGAGCAGAAATTGTTTGTGCTCCGGAACAGGCAGCTCAGCGGAAGCCGCGACGGGGGCGGGTCACGTGCGGCGGTGGCGGCGCAGCTGGCGGGGAAGCCGGGCTGGGACAAGGGCCGGGCCGGGCGGGGGTGGCACGGGGCGGCGGCTTTCGCAGCCGAGGATGGAACCGGCGTACTCGGGGCCGCTGAGCGAGTGGCGTCCCGAGCCTGGGGCGAGGGAGGGGCGCGAGTTACGGAGGGACTGGGGTTGGAGCCAGCGTGCTCGGAGCTCCGCGTGGTGCCGCACGGGCGGGACGGGAGATCGCTGTGGGGGAGGGGTGGTGGCGTGGGGGGTACGGGAGCGGGTCCCCCCCCAGGCAAGAGTGGCGATAGCGGGACCCAGGCGGAGACTGCGCGGTCGTCTGAACCCCCGAGAATGGAGGCACCGCTCCTGTAGTCGCCGGCCTTGTTTTCGTCTTTGCACGCAAATCCCGGAACGACCGGAACCGCCATCCCAGTCTGCGTCCCAGGGGTGCCCCATTACGCGCGGGGGAGGCTGCATCCCGCAGGGCGACTCCGGGCGGGGAGGGCTGCCGCGGTGGCTCCGCGGAGGGCGCCGGCTGGAGTCGTGGTGCACACGACCTACACACCTCCCTCTCCCCCGGAAGGAAAGGCTCGGGCCATCTCTGGGGACGCCCCGGGGCTGTGTGAGCTGTGCGGGGGGCCGCGGAGCGGGAGAGGGTGCTCTAGGGAGACCATCGGCCCTACCTTAAAGACAGGGATGGCCTTGTGGCCGGGGATGAGGAGTTTCACGCTTCCCCGAAGTAGCGAGCGCTACTCCGGCGTGGGATGGAAAGAACACGAACTTGGTCAGCAGCCAGAGCGCTTGAGGACGCCTGACTTCGGTGCCCCCCTCCCGGAGTGGCCTGAAGTGTTACCCTCTGTTCCATAGTCCACGCGGTTGAGGTCCGAGGCCTAGATAAGTGGGAGGGTGTGGTCAGGCCTTTGATGGGAAACCCACCCATGTTCCTCTCAGACGCCACGCGGAAGAGGGGCGGCATGGTCCTCGCACAAAGTTTCCCACCCCACCCCTCATCGGGGAAGGGCAGTTCTTCCGGTGGTGGGGGCAGGGGAATAATGGCTTGGGCACGGGGAGTGGGTCTAGTTCGTTTTCCAGAGGGGCGCGGGCGGCCAGCGTTTTCGCGTCCCCCGAGTGGCGGCGCTTGGCCCCGCTGCGGAGTCTGCTGTGAGTTGAGGCAGCGGGAGCCGTGCAGAGTGTGGGGCGACGCGAGACGCCATTTGCATCCCCCTCCCCCCCCACCTCCGCCGGCAGGTTGGCGGGGGCTGAGGTGTCGCCCGCCGCGGAAGCGTGTTCCTCGCAGTGACACTGATTAGATGCTGTGTCGGTACGTGCCCGGAATTGGGTGGGCCTTCACCTCTCCTGTGCGCATACACTTTATGTTGGAAAACTTGCGGGTTATTCCCCCCACCCCCACCCCCCTTGCCGCACAGCTGCAGTCTTCAGGGCGGAATTAGGCGAGCACGTTTGCTCTGCCCCAGGGAAAGAGGATCGTGCTGGCGCTGGGAGGCCGCCGGGCCCGGGCCGCGAAAATCCAGCCCTGGCTTTGCGTCGAGCTGCCGAATGCGGCGCTTACGCGCGCCCGGCCAGCCGAGGCCTGGTTTCCATCTGCCCCTTTTGCCTCCGTGTTAAGTTCGCCGGGGAAAACCCAGTGATCCGTGCACAGCCCCTCGGAGGAGAACACCACCCCCCCCCCAGCCCGATTCTGACCGATGGAAAAAATGACAGTATAGGTCGGAGTAGGCTGCCCGCGAGTATTAATGCGGCCGCCTCCGTTCCCGGTGCATGGGGAGGATGGGCGCCAAGCCAGGAAACCGCCGAAGGAGGAGCCTGGAGGGCCGCCTGCCCCTTCCCGGGCTAGAAAACGTGGATTCTTAGAGAGACCAGACAACCGTGGGCAGACAGCTGCGAGAACTTACCCCACTAAATACAGGTTGTCCCTGTATCTTTCAAGCAAGATCGATCTTTTTGTTTTAATCAAGTACACATTGAGTCAGTTACAAATACTGTGAGAACTGGTTGATCTGTAGCTGAAACGCCGCTCTCCGCCTGCTATGAAAAGTCTGGGCAGGAGGTACCGGGCTGAGCATGATGTACTTTGGCGCAGGCCGTGTGTGTCCTGAGAAACCGCAGTCGCCTTTGCACTCCACCTTCGAGGACTCTTACTATAACTCTCAACGGGGATTTCTTTTCGTTGTAGTTTCTATTGGGGGCTTGCTTGTTCCTTGCAAAACCCTGCCTGGGGTTGTTAGTACTTCCTAGTGGATGGTCCTGGGTTTTGGCTTTTATAAGCCCACGATTTTCTCTTGCCTTTTTCTTTTCCTTCGTTCGTGCGGCTCGGTGCTGTGGAGTCCCTTCCCGCACCCCGGTCCCGGCCCCAAACGTCTGCTGCCGCCGCCCTCGGACTCTTCTCGCTCGCGCACCACGCGGCCTCGGAGGGGGAAAGTGAACTCTCCGGGTGGCGCTCGAGAACTGGAGTTCTGACTCTGGCTGCGGGTTTGCTCCGGAGGCTGGCCGGCAGCGGCTCGGGAGCCAGAGGCTGTGAAGGGGAAGCCCCGAAGGTGACCCGGAGGCTTCGGGAGCAAACCCGGAGGCGCCCGCGTCTTTGTCTTTCGCGGGGCTGGCCGCCTGGCACGCACAGCTCCGATAAGGATCAACTGTGAGAGCGAGAGCGCACCGCCAGCACTTTCAGTGACTAGGGGAACGCCGGCAGCCACGTAAGGAAAAGGCCATTTGCGTTGTCTTTGAAAAGGAAAAGGCTGTCCCACTTAATGAATTATGAGTGAACTGGGAGAGGCCAGGCGCGGAGTTGGTGGCGCCGAGGCCTCCTCGGGGCGCTTCTTCGCCCCAGCCCCGCCCCATCGTGCCAAGAGACCCCATTTCAAAGGAGATGGGAAGCTTTTGGAAATTAGACATCTGACCCATTCTATTTACATAAATCGTGGTGCATTTGTGTGTCCCTAAAATGAGATTCACCAGCAGCCCAGGGACTGAGGCCTGCTGCCTGCCAGCTCTGGACCTGCGTTAAACTCTGGCTAACTTACATCCCCAGAGGATGTGGCTTTTGCCCAGCGTCTCTAAGAACTGATTTATAGGAGGTGGCCTTGAGCCATCAGAAAGGGTGGCCTGCAAGAGTCTACCGGACGTCCTCTAAACCAGGGCTGTTCGCCCAAGGCCTCAGGGAGAGGGTGGGTAATGGTGCCTGAGCCCTGGCAGAAGCTTCCCATTAATCCAGTCTAAATGAGCACCATTAAAGCAAAGTTTCCCCTTCCATCCTTACCACACACATGGGTCTTTAAGGGAAAGTCTAGTCGAGACAGTTTGAGCCCATTTTGCCTTCTTAACTTTTTTATGGGCAGTAGTGCTCTTTATGGGCTTCCCAGGTGGCTCAGTAGGTAGAGAATCTGCAGTGCAGAAGATCTGGGTTCAATCCCTGGGTCAGGAAGATCCCCTGGAGGACGGCATGGCAACCCACTCCAGTATTCTTGCCTGGGAAATCCCATAGACAGAGGAGTGTGGTGGGCTACAGTCCATGGGGTTGCAGAGTCCAAGAGGACTCAGCACAGCACAGCACCAGCACCCTTTCTACCCTGTCCAAACTCTGCCTTCAGCAGTTTCAGCCTGGTAAACTGAAGTCTCTCAGTCGTGTCCGACTCTTTGCGACCCCATGGACTGTAGCCTACCAGGCTCCTTCATCCATGGGATTTCCCAGGCAAGAGTACTGGCGTGGGTTGCCATTTCCTTCTCCAGAGGACCTTCCCAACCCAGGGATCTAACCCGGGTCTCCTGCATTGCAGGCACACACTTTTACCGTCTGAGCCACCAGGGAAACCTGGTAAGAAAGTATCAAATCCTAACATTGTAGTATTGTATGCCAGGCAGAGTCCTATGCACTTTATGTATGAATTCATATCATTCTGAACACAACCCTGTTAAGACAGTTACTGGTATGTTACAAGTGAGGACACTGAGGCCCTGAACGGTTAGGAGGCTCCATGGCACATTTCGGGCTATCGCCAGGATGGTCCCCAATTGAGGAATGTAGGGCTGTGCTGCCTTCCCGGTGTTGCGTAGTGAAGGTGAGCTGTTTGGGGGGGGCGGCCGTTGGACCTACCACCTTCCAAAGGGTTATGGGAAGAGATGGGGAAGCCCGACATTTGGCCCTTATCTTGCAAAGGGAAGTCCCGAAGCCTCTTACAGAAGCACGTTACTGTGGCGGCAGAAGGGACCAGGGAAGGCAGTGCAAAGGCCCCTCGCCCCACGTCGCCACATAGCATCCGGCGGTCACGTCCGCCGGAGGTGACTGGGGGCTGGGGACAGCCGATTGCGGAGGAACTCCTTATCGCCGAGAGTCAGTGGTCTCAGGAGGCGGAGCTAAACGACCGCCTTCGGGGTGGGGGTGCGAGCTAGGTCGCGCCGGTCCCTGGGCCCCGGGTGTGCCCCCGGACTCCTTTCGCGGAGCCGGCCGGATGCCTGGCAGCGCATTCCGCACCTCCGGGCTCCACTCCGATTGAGCGCCAGACCTGGGCACGGAGCCTCAGGACCGGAGCTGGAGAGGCCAGCTAGACGAGTCTCGATTGGAATGGCTGGTTCCGGGTTGCTCGCACACTCACCCTGCCTCCCCCATATACTCATCCCCCTTTCCGGGTGCGCGCGCGCGCACACACACACACACACACACGGATCTCCAGCGCACGCGCGCGCGCGCACACACACACACACACACGGATCTCCAGCGCGCGCGCGCGCGCACACACACACACACACGGATCTCCAGCGCGCAGCCCGCCTCCCGGGCCTCCGCCTTCCCTTCCTCCTCCCAGCTCCGGCGCTTCCGAAGCCCATGTCGGTTGTGTGTTGCACTCCGGAAGAGTCGGGGTTAGGGGAGCCTTGCCACCCCGCCCCTCCCCAGGGTCCGTGCACACGCTGGCGCCCCGGGGGCGAGCAGCCAGGCCTGGGGATCCCCAACTCCCACGGGAAGTGGTGGCGGCTGCCGGGGACCTATGCACTGTGTTTCGTGTTTCATGATGGCCCGGGGGTCAAAGGCGAGGGCCAAACAGTGGGGCCTATGCGTGAATGGGGGTGGCGATAAATCCCCTCTCCGGGAAAGCTGGCTGAGTCTCGACCACGGCTACTGGGAGTCTGCCCTGCATGGCTTGTATTGGCCACAGTTGGACACCCTGCATGCCCGGGCCGGAGTGTGGCCCTGTGTGTCTTGGGGTGGGGGTGCGGGGTGTTGTGGTCGGAGGCGGCGCTGGAAAATCAGCCCCCATCTCACATCATTCTGGAGCCTTTACTTCTAGCTCGGAAGACCCTTGGGCCCAGCTGCCCTAGCCACCGCCAGAGCTAGAGGAGGGACTGGCAGACCGGCCTATCCGCACTTGCGGGCTTTGAGAGGCCTCGGCCGGCCGCCGAGCCGAGGGAGGGAGCGCAGCAGCCCGCGCGCCTCAAGGCAGAACACACGCCTTTCCCGGAACCTTGAAACCCTGGGGAGCCGCTGCCATCTTCGCGTGACGAGCAGCGAGACGCCGGTGATTGTTTCTTTCCGGCTCCCTCCCCGGGTTGTGGCTCTCCTTGCCAGAGAGGGAAGAATAAAACCGGGGCGGGGGTGGGGGCAGGTAGCACACAATTGCGCTCTCCACTCACCCTCCGTGTCCGCACTGGTCTCTCAGGATGCGTCTACGCGGGGCGCCCTCTGCCTTTACACAATGCCTCGGCGAGGATTGAGGCTCTGGGGTGTCGACTTGCCTCAGTTTACATCCGCCTCGAGCCCAAGTCGTGAAGTTTAATCCGGTGGGGGGGCACACATTGCCGAAGCCACCCGACCCCCATCTCTTCTCCTCCCATGGGAATTAAACCTTAATACAGGAATCCCCCACCCATGCCAGGGACTAATCCTGCCGCCCCTCCTGGGATTAACTCGGCTCACGGGTCCATAAAACACTTCCGGCACGGCTGGAGGGTCTGTCTGCAGAAACACTTTAAAATTGTCCTCCCGGGTTTGGAGTGGGAATTGACCCGGTGGAGGGAAGTGAGTAAACCAGAGGGTTGTAAGAGGTGATCCGTGCGGTTTGCAGGCTGTCGAAAGAGGTGCCTAAAATGTGGGCTGTCGGGGCTGCTTCAACCCAGAGGGTGACCTGGGTCCCAGTAGACGCATCTCGGAAAGGTATGCAACATTTGCTACATGACATTGATCCGGAGGAGAGTGGAGGCCAGCAGGAGCTGGTAGGTTTCAGCTGACTTCTGGCCCCTTTTCAGTGAGGCCAGAAACTTACTGTTCCTGAAACTATTTGGGGTTGGGGGCAGAGAATCAGTCTCCTGCCCCTCGTAGGTGGGACTCTGAAGACCAAAATCTTAAAGCATTTAGTAAACAGGACCTGACCCCCTCCACATCACTGTGACTAATGTTCGATCTCTCTTACCCTAGAAAACACAGTGGTTTGCTGATTTAAAAAAAACAGTAAAAACCAACCCTTCCTCAAATCCACGCAGGAATGTACAGATAAACAGAATCCAAAAGCCATTTAAGATTTTTAACATCCTCTTCTTTTACATCACTTCAAATTAACTTTCTGAGGTAATAGAACATTCTTTGGAATGTTCTGAGAAACATTCCTGTCCAAAGTGGGGGTAAAATGAAAAGAAAAAAAGACCTCGAAACCGGGTCAAATCACACTTGAAGAAGAAAACCGGATGAAGAATATAAATTCTAAGTAGCTTTCTGGCTCCCTATCCTTCTGTTAGTCTGGAGAGCAGATGCTATAGATAGCAGGCCACCCCCATAGGACCCCGGAAATAGGTCCTGACTCGGACTTGATCCACTAAGGGCGAGGTGACTTGGCCTTTGGGGGGTGGGGGGAAGACAGTGGAAGGGGGAAGGGCAATCATTTGCCTTAAATGAACATCAGAAAAAAGACCTAGGCCTGCCTCTGCGTCCTGAGGACCCAGAGCTGCTAAAACTATGTGTGGGAGGCGGCGCCCGACGACCTCCTTCCCCGCAGATGGACTCACGCAGCGTGACCGGCCCCAGGTGGCGCCCAGGCACACTGGGGAGAGAAGCCCGGGCCGCGCATTCACTCTGCCTCGCAGATTGCAAACGGGGGCCTCTAGCCGGACCGCCCACCGACCTTTCTCTCCCCTCCCTTGCCCGAGGCCTCCGGGCAGGGTCTACTCGCCTCTACCCCACTGCCCCTCGGGCTGCGCCCTCCCCTCCCTGGCACCCAGCCCGGATCTGGAGGCCTCCCCTGCCCGCCCGCAGCCCCCGTTCTTCCTCTCGTGATTCATTTAGCAACGGTGCAGAAAGCCTGTTTACCTCTGCAGCCCAGGGCGACTCGATCTGCGTAAAAAGCCCTAACGCCAGCGCCGACCAGTAGGGGGGGATTGTCCTATAGATTATTTCTCCTCCTGGGTTTTTTTTTTTTTTTTTTTTTTACGAGAAGGCTGGGTTGGAGAGGGGGTGGGGTGGCATGTTGCTGCTGGTTTTTAAAACACCGTATTTGAAAGAGAAACAAAAGCCACACAAAAGCCGTTTAGGAGGTACCAAGGCTGTTTTTACATATAAAAAGTGCAGCGAATACCAAGGGGCCCCCAGCAGTGATAAACTAAATGGTTGGCCGATTTCGACAATTAGCAGTTAATCTGTTATCTGCGATCTGCAAACAAGTTCTGAGGCTCGAAGGACAGCGAATTCCTGTTCCAGTCGACAGCGTTGTACTCTGTTGGGCACCTTCGATGCTCTGGGTTTCTCAGAGTGCAAATCCAGCTTCGGCAAACATGGGTTTCCCGAGTTGGAGGATAGACTTAGGTCACAGAAAATTCAGTCGAGCAGCCAAGAGGCCTCGGCCTGTATCGCCCCTCCGGCCCGAGCTTGTATCTTTGGTTCCAATTTCTCTAAGTTTTTTTTTTTTTTTCCGTCCTCTAATTTCGCACGTAGTAGGCCTCCAGCAAATGTGGAATAAGTGTTGGAAACCAAAATGAGGCCCTCGGCCTGTAAAGCAGGCTGAAGTGCGGCCTCGCCCTCGGAACTCCCTTCGGGTGCCCAGAGCCCTCTGGCCGCCGCAGTCTGCGCGCAGCTTCGCCCTGAGCGGGCCGGGGCGGGCGGGGGAGGCCGGGAGGCATGAAGCGCCTGGAGCCTGCACGATGATAAATATTGCGCAGACAGCCCATAAATAATTTGCATTATGTTCAGCTGACAACGCAGGGCGATTAATTTTAATAGCTACATATTTGCCTGGGCTGCTGCTTTCGTAGGCCCGGTAATGAAAGGCGAGAGGCCGCCCTGGCTCTGTGCTCGCGATCCCGGAAGGCAGCCGGGAGGTGCGGGAGGGCCCGACGAGGCGTCTCCTCCAGGCAGCCCCCCGGGGAGTCCCAGCCTCTAAGCCCCCCTCTCGCTCTCCAGGCCGTGTAGACGCGGGGTGCGTGCGCGCCGCGAGGGCACCCCCGGGGCCTGGAGCAACAGGAACTACCATAATGACACTGCAGATTTGTCTGTCTGGGGAGAGCCGCTTGTGACCACGGGACCCTCCCCAGTGCGATGCGCCCCACCCGTATCAAGTCCGGAGTGCATTCCGAAGGGGAATTCACGTTCCAGTTTGGGTGGGGGTTGGGAAGGGCTGGTGCTAGCCCGCCGATTCACCGGTGGGCCCCCACGCAGCAGAGGCTTTTACGCCCCGGGGACCCAGGAAAGGGGCAGAACAAAGCCCAGCTGCCCACGCGTCCTCTCCGCGCGCGTCCCGAGTCCTGCGGTCCTGCGCCCCGCGGGAGGCCCCTCTAAAACGCTTTCCGAGCTCCTCGATTAAAAGGACCGCACACATAAAAGACAGAAGAAAGGATTTGGAGCAGCTCTTAAAAAAGAGGGGGCGGGGAGGGGAGCGCAGCGAAGAAGGACGCGGCGCGGCGGCTGCCGCGGTCCCGTAGCGACCGGGTGCGCGCGTGTGCGTGTCTGTGTGTGCGTTCCGATGACAAAGCCCCGCCGCCGCCGGCGGGCTCCCGGCTGCTTGAGCACTGGTGGGGGAGGGGGGGAGCCCGCGCTCGCGTAGGTAGCGGGGAGTCGAAGCTTCCCGGGAGAAAGAGTTCATTCATAAGCTGGAGGAGGCCTCCTGGCCAGGCCAGGTGGAGCCTCCCGAAGCCAACACCTGTGTGTTTGCCTGTCTGAAAAGGGGCGAGCGCATCCAACATTACCATATTTTAATTGCCTTTCGCAAAGGTCATCTCTAATTACGGGTTGCGAGGAGGGTTGGCCAGGGGTCTGTAGCCCTCGATTGTGTGCCTGAGTGTGTGTGCCGCCGCTGAGACAATGCGCCCGGCTCTTATCGAAATGCCAATCCGAGGGTGTCCGTGCGCGCCTGCGAGGCGGTCACGACGTGCTGAATCCACGCAGACAGACCGGGCTGCGAGCACAATAAAAGCCGAGCAGGCGGCGAAGGGCAGCGCAGACCCACGGGTTTTCTTTTTAGAAACGGTGGTGCGAAGAGACTTGACAATAATAACACGCAGCAGGATTAAATCAGGGTGGGAATAAGAAAATGCATTTTCGTTCCTAAAACCGCGTCCTACGTTTAACCCATCCGATCCCCCAAGAGCTTTTTGTGCCCACGTGGAGTCCCGCACGGGGACAGGTGCGGGGCACAGAGCGGCTTTGGGGGTGCTTGGTGATCGTCCAGGACAGGCACCTTCTTTTAATACTGACCTCTTCCTTTAATGCACTGTAGTCAGCTATAGTGAAGTGGGATCCTTAACGACGTGTATTTTATGGGGAATGATAACTGGCTAGTTGAAAAGGAGAAAGAGAGAACATTAAGGGTTTTTTAACTTTTAAAAGTCTGCATTTCCTTAGTTTTCATCACTTGCGGAAGCCCTTGAGGCAGAAGCCTATTGTAACTTCTTCTGAGGGAGCAGCCAGCCGGGAAGGTTGTTGGAGGGTCAGGGGTTCTTAGGAGGATATTGTGGAGATGAGGGGGTGGAAATCAGTGAAGAGCAGTTGGTCAGGGGTGGCCAGCAGCAACTCTAAACTTGACTTTATCAAAGGAGCCTGAGTCTCTTAGCCACCATGCTGTTTCTGGGAGTCAGGAGACTCGGAGAGTTGGAGGGTTTTGTACTGGCTCTGCTTCCTGCCTGCCCCCCACACCTGGCCTCCTGGCCTCACCAGCAGCCTGCTTTGCCCGGAGGAAGGCAGAGCCAGATGACTGGTCCAACCCCCGAGAGACCGCCTGGCTTTCTCCTCCCCTGTAATCAAAACCAGATGCACTTAAGCGCCTTTCATCAGAGGAAGCCCAAAGCCCTTTAACAGGCTTCAATAAAAGCCTTGCTAGGGCCTACCAGCCTGCTCGGTGTCCAGGCCCCTGTGCCCGCGTTCCACTGGAGGAAGCCTGGGTCGACCAACAGGGCCTAGCTCCTCCCAGAGGGACCCCAGAAGCCAAAGACATCTCCATAGCCAAGGCAGCCTTTCCAGACAAGTAGGATGCCAGGATCCCTGCCAGGTGTGTAAGCCAGACTCCGTTGATAGGAGAAAAGAAACCAGCAAGGACGAGAAGCCAGCAGCTAGTGCTGAAGGGATAGGAAGAAACCAGAGGGACTAAGAAAGTAGCAGAGAGGTGAAAGGGTGATAATGATCAAGATATTCAGAAGCACTCCAAGGTACTTGGACCACCCCCACTTTCAGAGCCCTTATCCTATCCTATTGCAGTGTTTCTGTCTCCCACACTACAGACTAGAAACTCCCCAAGGGCAGAGACTGTCATTTATCTTTACAAACCTGGTGCAGGTTGGCACTAAATATGTGGT